TAATCCAATACACCCCTCTTAGTTTAGTCAGAAGTTAAATACTTATATTTATAACTATTTATTATAAGTAAAATCTACGAAATCGTTATATAACTTTCATAATAGATAAATTGATCATGAGTAAATATAAAATAAATATCTATTTGCAAATTTCGAATTTATAATAAAAATTGATATTTATCATTACAAGTCAGTTTTCTTAAGTAAACATGAGGTATAGCCATTTAGGAATTGAGTGGTTATAAATTTGAAAAACATATCCTTAATCGGATATATACATGTATAAATGGTTTTAATGGAATCATGGTATTTATATACTATCTGAATTTGATTATGTACTTTGCACAAATAATTTTAGTCTATATTATCATATTGATAGGATACCTATATGCTTGTATTTAAACCCTACAAGATTCTAAGCTAGTGAGAATATTTTATTTAATAAAAATAAATAATAATCATCATATGTATAAAGAATTAAATATAAATATAAAAAATAATCAACAATAAATTTAATATATAAAATTAAGAGTGTAAAATATAATATTTTTAAATAGACACTAATAATTTAATTAAAGTGAAAAATACATTTGTTCACTCACATTATAATGTAGGGTTATCACTGAAAGTACCTAAGTAACGTACGTCGGCTATCTATTGTAATTATGTTGGGGTAGAGGGTGTCACAACTTAAATAAAGCTTATAAAACTTGGGTAGTTCTCATCTTACAAGTTGGTTTTGTGGGATTGAGTTAGGCTCAATTCCAATTTATAAAATGGTATCAAAGTATATCCTAGGCCGGCATTAGTTGTGACCTTGTTCCTTAAAAATAATTAATTCTTTGCTCCACCCTGGACATGGTGGTTTGGGTAGGTAATTGTTAAGGCTTTTGCAAGTAAATAAAGGTTGGAATGGTTTTCTATGGAAAGCTTATCCTATTTAGTGTGAAAAATGATCTTTTGGTATTAGTTTAGGACCATAGACTGTTAATGTAGAAGTATCATGCCCTGGAATATATCATTCAATTTTTCTAATCGTAAACATGAGCACATGTTAAGAAGCTGTAAATATACTATATTATATTGCTTCTAATTACGTAGAAAACAAGCATCAAATGACTTATTTTTTTTTTATACGATAAATGTTTTCTTTTTAGATTAAATATGTTTTTAGTTCTTGAACTTTTGTTGATTTTCACTTTTAGTCTTGAACTTTTCCTCCTGTTAACATTTTTGTTCCCTGGCGTCAAAGTTTTTTGTTCATGGAAGAAAATTTTAGGGACTAAATTGTTCAGGGACTAAAAGTGAAAATTGACAAAAGTTTAGGGAGTAAAAGTAAAACCATATTTAATCCTTTCTTTTTCAACAGGAACTCTCTATTTTTGTCTTCTTAACATGTGTCATTTGACACACCTTAGAAAAGCTGTTAATCATTTATTTATTTTCTGTGATAGCAAGTATCTCAATTTTGTGGTGATGTATATGATACGTGCTTAGCTTACTGTTAATAGTGGAGACTAGAAAGTAGACACACTTGTTGGGTGGTTTTTATTTGATTTTTCTGGCACCATTATACGTGTCAGAGATCTTCACCTGGCAGCATCTTTCCAATACCAACTGTTATCTAGGGATGTGTCCATGCTCTTGCAAAAGCTCATATCATGGGAAAAAATATTATAAAAGGCAGAACATTTTATATCCTGCCAGTTTTTCATTTTTTAAAGTTTATTCAGACGGACTGGTTTAGAAGTTCAAATTTCATTGAAGTAAATTGAATAGACCCTTTTTCATTTTTGAATACTGTTAGTCAGATTTGTGTTTGATGTTATACTTAAGTGTGTATTTTTCTGAGATTAGTGAATTTGTTAAGCTCATGATCTTGCTTGCTTATTTTATGCAGTGGTCTGAACGGAGGAGGCTTGACTTAGCCGGATTTATGTCTTCCACGTTAAGGGCTCATTTAAATGCATATGACCCAATTTTTTCAATGGCTCTTAGATATTTAATAAGGTGATCTATTAGCTTCTTCTCATTCAGTTTGAAGTACTTGGTCAAACTATGCTGTTTTCAGTGTCATGCACTACGCAATTTATTGGAATTTCTTTTGCCAATTTTGAAATTTTATTCTTCTTTTGTATTTTGTGTCTTTATTACAGCATACACAGGGTATATTGTTTACGTCAAGGTATTACATCCCCGATCTCTGATCTGACTGAAAGATTGCTCCTTGAAGAACGGGACCCTCCTGCAACACCACAAGACATTTTATATGAAGTACCACCATTTGATGAGGTGAGATATTTATGTTGATAAATCTAAAATTCCTGGTTCGTTAGAAACTGGGTCAGATTAACAAAAGAAAATGGTATGCATGCTGTATCTTATTACTCAAATTATCATGATATGATATCAGTGACATATGAGCACCAGTACATGGTTTTACAGAGGAAATGTTGAACAGAAATTAAGTTAAAAAAATACAGAAAGTCCCAATGTATTCAAAAGGCCTTAATCTGGTGCTCTGGGTCTCTTTCTCAGCCTTTTCTTACCCCGTTCTCTCGTCTCCTTGCTTTTGATTTCATTTTCCTTGCCCAATTTTGCACTGATCCCCACTCTCACCAGCCGGATAAGCAGGTTGTTACAATGCAAACCAATGAAATACTGATCACACACCTTTCAGACATGCTCTGGCGGGTCTTAATCCTCTGCTTTTATTTCTTCTCCACTGTTGTACATCTTATTGATGGGTGTCTTGTCAGAAGTCTAGTGTATGTTAATGGTCAATGTTATCATTTTGTCCAAACAAATTGATGAATCTGCATACACTTTGTATAAATGACACATCTGGGCCCCATTTTTTATTTTTATTTATTTATACACATCACTTTTAAATGGATGCTTTGTGTTTGGCTTTGGAATCCAGGTTGACATACAGGCTCTTGCACATGCTGTAGAGCTTACCAGACAAGGGGCAATTGATAGCTTGAGATTTACTAAGGGTGATCTATTCCTGGCATTTCAGGTTACATATAATCTTACTAATTCATCTGCTTTTGCTTCAATTTAAATTTAGCAATGAATTGTTCCCGTTACATCTAAATTACTTGCAGGATCAATTTTTAAAATATAATCTGGCCCAGTGTATTACCTATTTTTCCTTTTGATAAACAGAAAATATAAAATCTCAATTTCTTCTAATAAAAATAAAATTTAAAATCCCATTTTCTAGCCTATCATCTTTTAATTCTACTTTTGTGGTTCATGTCCTCCTTTCTTCAGGGTAATAAATTTTCTTGCACCATTACCCAAAAAAAAAATCCATTATTGACTTACTATTGCATGGATTCTGGGAAATTCAGTTTAGAAAACTTTTTTTTGCCAGATATTTACTGGATCCAAGAAAAAATATTCCTTAATTTCTTTCCACTTTCAGACCAAAGAAACAATTTTATCATCAAGTCAGAGGTAAGGGCTAAGGAAAAGAAGTTTTTGGTTAATGCAAAATATGTCTGAATGATTTCAAACTCTTTTAATGTTTACTTTTGGATGCATTGGTTATATATTTAATTTTTTCTCCAATCTTGCTTTCTTGCCTTTAATATTGTATTCTTTCTGTTGCAGAATGAATTATGTCGGATGAGGTTGGATGTTCCACTTCTTGATCAACTAGTTAGAGAGTATTTTGTTTACAGAGGCATTGTTGACTCTGGTATGGCATCTTCTCTGTTGAATCCTAGCTATTTGTGTGTGATGTGTGTAAAATACTTTCAAGCTACTTGCTTCCGTTACTTTTATTTTTCATAGCATTTTCTCATATCATTAATCTTCATTGGATTTCTAGCATCACTCGATTTTAAATTCAAATTTAATGTTGGCTATCTCATCTATACATTGTAATCTAATAATGGGTGTTGTGCAATATTGAATCCTATTCTATGTTTCAATATATCTTATCCATTTTGGTTATTGCATGTCAATTTATGATGAACTTAGCATCTGGGAAGCAACCTATACCAGAACCTTTGAAATTCAACCAAGACCCTGGGTATTGCTCATCAAGGGATTGTTCTATGGAGCAAGATTGTAATGCCAGCAAGCATTCTGATGGTGAAACTTCTGTTACCAATGCTCAGATGGATGGTTCCCCTGAAAATAATGCTGATGTGACAAGCATGAGACGAATTGATTTTGAAGTACGGTATGCTTCTGAACTTGCAAGTATTCATGAAGACTGTAGCACCAGTGGATCGCAGCAACATGAAGATGCATGTGTTTTACAACGAAGCAGATTGCCTGGAAGTGGAGAAAGAAGCAAGCGCAAGCGGTGGAGAGGACGATATGATGACAATAGTCACATGCCCAATGCTTCTTTAGAAGAGCACAGCAAGCTAGAGCATAGCATAAGCACTGTTGTTTCAACTTTAACAAAGGAGAAACAGGTATCTTTTTAATAATTTGATGGTAATTTGTCTAGGAGATAAATTGTTGACTGACTGTTGTTTTGCAGGGCTCTGAAAAGCTTTCTGTACATGATGCTAGTAATGTGGAAGATAGATATGAGATTCTGTTGGGAATGAAGGAATTAGCTAGCAGAGGAATGGCCGCTGAAGCAGTTGAGGAGGTCAATGCTATTGATCCTAATTTCTTTGCCCAAAACTCCGTTTTGCTCTTCCAACTCAAGCAGGTAAGTGGCGTCTATTTATTGATATCCTTTTCTTTATGAAATTTATGGAAGAGGGCCAGGGAATGTCATAGGGCTCTGCATAATTTTGTTGGGAATGTTATCTTTATTGAGGATTCCTGGCTATAGGTTGAATTCCTCAAGTTGGTCAGCTCTGGTGATTATAATGCTGCTTTAAGGGTTGCTTGCACTCATTTGGGTCCTTTAGCTTCTAGTGATCCTGCTTTATTGAAGCCGTTGAAGGAAACTCTTTTGGCTTTACTACGACCTAATGAAGATGCTCTTGGAAATGCATTACCTCTACATGCTCTAGCTGCTTCTCTCCAGGTGTTGTGCATTTTTGCTAATTTATATCATCAATTATTGTCATTGCTATACTTTTTTTTCCTCATTTTCTGTTGATGAGATTTTCTTGTTCTTGGTGCTTGTATCTGGAAATGTTGTGATAAAATTGTAGGTAATTCTGATCTTTCATTCATTATGAGTAGGATTTCTTCAACCTCAAAAAGAATTTCAGCCTTAGCAATCCACTTAATGGGGTCTATCCCTGTAATGTCCGGCAGTTCCACATTTTTGGCCCACATGTCTCCATCTCTGATAACACTGGCTTCGCCTCAAACATTTGGCAGGTTGGATTAATTGATTGGAACCTGATTTAGGATAAACCGACTACCATATTATTGACTGAAAATATAAGAAATATTACAAGATAAACCCTTCTAATCCCAGAGCAGAATCTCCTCAGAGAAGAAGTTCCTTCTCTGCCCAAGTCAGAGTATACACTCTGGACTCCCAAATTGAAAATACAAACACCCATTCCTCTCCTTCTTCCCCTACAACAACCTCCACTATATTTTCTTTTTCTGTCTCCGTAACTAACTCTTCCCTCCTTTCCTACTTAATGTGATTCCAAGTGGGCCTTGTATATTTGAGCTTGTGGTAGAGAACCCATCAGATTACTAGTAGAAAAAGATGGGAAGGAATTACAATAGTTTAATTGACAAGTGATTCATACATGTTGAAAGCTTATAACTTTCCATAAACCCAACTTAGTATTGATAGCATAGCATCCTAAATAATATTCAATTCCTTTTAATTGTAAATTACTAGATGCAAGGGCTTATTATCATATAGGAGTTATTTATAGTATGATATTTCCTGGGTTAATGCGGTTTCATGTATTATTCCATACCTGAAAGCTTCCTACCACTATCTATGGTGAAGGATTTTGTTCCATTATTTTCTAATTTCTTTAATACAATATGAATGTTTTTACTTTGTTATGTTATTTTGAATGTGAAATGCTGTTTTTATACTGAATAGGTGGCAGTTGGTCGAAGGCTTGGTGTTGAAGAACCTCAACTCATGAAAATAATGCGAGCCACTCTTTATACTCATAATGAGTGGTTTAAACTTCAAATGTGCAAAGATCGTTTTGAAGGGCTTTTGAGGATTGATTCATTGAAGGAAGCCAACACTCCCTTCCTTGCACCAGTCTCTACATCCAAGTCGTATGCTGATAGCTGCACAAATGGATCTTCTCAGGCTACAGTATCTTCAGGCACCAGGATGTCAGAAGATGGTAGCAGTCCAACTCAAGTGTCTTCAAGGGACGTCATCTGTGACGAAGGTGCAATACTTAAAGTAATGGTAAGTCATGAGTTCTTGCCATTAAATTTTGTCCATAAAAAAAATTAAAAATTCATTTTAGTGTCATGATTCTCTGACCGCTGAAACTTTCCATGGGTTTTCATATCTCCTAATCATGTCTTGCTTTGCAACTTGTAATGAAAAAATTTCATTAACTATATTGGAAAATGTTGAAGTTTTCACCGTCTTAATTTTTCTAATGTAAATTTGCATTTGTCAAAACGGTAACGTCTTTTTGCAACTACAGAGGATGAATATTCAACAGCTCTATCACAGTCTCAATGGGTTTCTTCACGGATTTTTTTATTCCCTCCTTTTTCTAAGTATCGTGTCGTATTTTATTTCTGTTTGTTTGACCCATTCATATTCCATCAAATATTATTTCTTCTTTTATAACGTGGATTAAATAAATGCATAACTAAGCATTTTCGTGATTTCTAACTTGCTTGCTAAAGCCTTCCCCCACGTCTTATCTATTATTGTTTATGCTTTAAATCATTCGTTTCGGCATGCAAGGTTTCCTTTTAATGTTGAAGTTTTTTGCGAGTGCAGGAGTTTTTAGCTTTGCCTAGGGCTGATGCCATACATCTGCTTGCACAATACAACGGAAATGCGGAGACAGTGATTCAGCAGATATTTGCCTAGGCGTTGTGTAGGAAAATCGGGTTCATTATTTGGGAAAAAAAAAGGTCAAATTATTTTTTTCAATATTATTTGATTCAAATTTGTGAATTTTTTTTATACCCCTTGTACATATAGCTGCAAAGAGGGAAATCACTGTAACGTTTGAAATCCGAATTGACGGAAACTATGTACAGAATCTCGATTATTACCTCAGTTTTAATGAGAAAGTTGTAATTAATAAAATAATTATTGGCGTGATTCAAGTGGGGATTCATAAGGTTTCTTTTTAATGAGTTTAGGGTTTTACTTTTTTTATCAAATGGTTTTACTTTATAAGTAGTGCAACCATGATGTTTCGTGCTGGGAGGAACGAAGTGAGAAATAAGGTAAATCAAAATATAGATAAGAGAAATAGATTGAAATTATAAGTTATTTAAGAGAAATAGGAACGAGAGAAATAAAATAAAATCTAAAATTAACAATTAATATTTTAATTTAGTTGATTAAATAGAAATAATCAATTGTTTTTTTATCTAAAAATTAAATTTGTTTAAATCAATTAAATTAAAAAGGTGTTTTTCAATAAAAAAATGTAATTGATTATAAATCGATTTTAGTCGATTGTTTTTCTCTAGCGTGACACTATTTTTACACTGATTTGCTGAGAAATAAAAGTGAGGTTTACATTTTTGTTTTCCCCTCTACTAATTTCTGTTACCCAACAGATGCAAATCTTCATTTTTGCTATGTTTCTTTGCCCCCTCTCCTCTCCCCTTCAATTTCACTACCTGACAGAATGCTTATGAGTAATTAAAAAATGCTGATAAAATTGCAGATATTTATTTATCCTTTCAATAGGTTCACTCTTTGTCAGGGTTTTTATATTCATCAGGACCAAAAAGTTTGATTGAATTGATTTAAGAAAGTATAATAGTGGGTATGACTCGCGTTATAAATTATATGCGGTAGCTAGTATATAATGAAATTCTTTATCATGTACTAGCTTCATAAAAAAATAAAATAAAATAGTGTTTCTAAAAAAAGTGAGTAATTATTATTTTTATAGAGGATAGTTATTTTTTTAATATATTATTCTTATTTTATCTTTAAATATAAATTAATAAGAAAAAATAAAATATAATATAAGAGTATAATTTTCTTTAAAAATATAGACATAAAAAGAAATATTTCCTTTATATATTAATATAATTTTTAACGTTTCTAATCTATTCTAAATATGTTAAGTAATTTACGGTAATCAAATTTATTTTTTATTTTTGACCATTAGACTACTGCATAAAATCTTATCAAGCCTTTTCTGTATATTATATCTCCCTAAAAAAATCTTAATGCTACAGTAACTCATCGTATCGTGCTTCTTCTTCCTCCGATGGTTGTGTCTTTCACTTACGTTGAAGCCTCTAAAATATTACTATTTGTTTCTCTCGAAACGATGTCATGAACCAGTTTCACATCCCTCTACCACCCACTTTCCTTAACAACGTCATAGTACCAAGTCCCTTTGTTCTTATTATCATTCTTTCCCGTCACAAAAATTAGCACCTTCTTGTTGTTCGAGCCGTGATAAATTTGTCCCTAAAACCATTCTTCCCTTTGTCCCTCCCTCCACAAAAAAATAGTTTTTTTTTCCCCCTTTACTGATTTGGATAATATTTATTCATATATATAATTTATTATAAATTTTAATTTTATATAATAAATATTTAATTCATAAATACTTTTTAAATAACAATGATATTAGTACAAAATATCTACAATCGAAATCAGATTAACTTTTATTGAGAATATTCTTTCC